GGGAATGGGGGAGATGTGAAAAGAGATGAGTGTCAGCTAGAAAAATTGTGTACGTGATAAAGAGGACGTGGAAAGAGAAAGAAAAAGGTAAGTGTAAAAAAAAGGGGTAACAAAAGGGTGAGAAAAGGGTGAATAGAAAAGAAAGAAGGTGTGTTTATGTGTCACAGAAAGAGAAGTAAAAGGAGGGTACCTGTGTGTTTATGTGAAAAAGAGAAGAAGAAAATAAAGGGAAAAAGAGACGAAGAAAATAAAGGAAAAAAGAGAGTTATTGCGGATGTATAAGAATGAAAAAGAATTGCTGATTCTTTGAAGAAAGTAGAAAATTTATTAATAGCAATTAGCTGATGTATTCTTGTTTTTGAAAAAATTTTGATCAAAATATAATAATAATAATTCAAAAATATTTTATATAAGACAAATATCAAATATCTTTCTTATTTATATGATGTATTTTTGAATAAAATATTTTTATTAATTTTAAATTAAAAATCATTAAAATATGAATCATTAATAATATTTCAATACAGAACAAATAAAAAATTAATAATATATTGAATAATTCTTCTCATTGATCATCTCATTTCACATTGCAACTATTCTCAAACTGAATTCATTTCATAAATTGGAATTTCACATTGTTTGTAAACGATAGTTACACGTCTCGCCATTACACATAGTCTCATCAAAATCTCGCCTTACATTCTCAACTTGAATCATCAAATTCCACGAGAATCAGGTAGCAAACGCGAAACGCTTTGCTTATCACCGGTATCATAAGCTCAAGGTCCAATGGAGTCGTTGTCAGGATTAATTATTTCACTTACGTTAGATTGGCATACGAAACTATTAAAGAAACGTGGGAGAAAATCGAGTATCTAATATATTTTTCCTGGCAGCAAAAAATCAAATGATAGAAAATATTGCTACAAAATACTGGAACTGGAAAATAGAAATTCTTTTTTTTTTAAAAATTATTTAATTCACAATATTTAAGGAGATATATCATATTTGCTATTATTTCAAAAATGTACATATAATATCTGAAACCAATATAAATAGTGAATTAACATTTTCCTAATTTAAATATAACAAACAAAACTAAACATTAACTTGTAAGAAATATATAATGAAATTATATTTTTTTATTATTCCAGAATTATGAATTAATTCAATGAAACATATATTCTCGTTTTAATTCAAAGTAATTAAAATAGTCGAGGAAAAACGAAACGTTGTTTTTGCTCGAGATAGGAATACGAAATGTCTTGTGACATTTTATCGAATTCTTCGTGTATCGAATTCGCTATGTCAGTGTCAATCAACGATTTTGCATATGCAAAAGTTTTTCAGTCGAAACGTATTAAAACCTGTTATTAAATGTTATAAACCAAATTACGATCTACTATTCCAAAATGATCAGCGATTTTTGCAAAGGAATTGATTACGGAAGTGGAATAGATAAGAGAAAAATGTGGCGTTGAAGAACTTTTTCTGCGGATTTAAATACGATAGAATTGGATTTCTGTTACGGCTGCCTATGTATATATTTTTTTGAAAACTGAATCGTATGTAGAACAAGAATATTTGCCAAAGAATTTATCATTATATAATTTATTATTATTTCAATCATCTTTTCTGATATATTTATAATTCTATAAATGATATTATTTCATCATATACAAAATTTGGAATTTTGTAGTCATTGTCTATTGAGATTCATAATTTACAAATTATTAAACTTTTATCATAATCTAATATCTTCTTATATCCTCTAAAATTGGACACCAATTTTCTTTCTTCTAAAATCATCGATTTCATTTATCATTATTGTATCAAACACGTTTAAATATTATAATTCCTTCAATTATTATAATAAATATTATAATACATTCAATTTTATTCTAAAAATATCACAACGCAACGATACAACGGCGCAACAATTGAAAACTCGAGAGATTAAATCATTTCTCTCTCTAGAGTCCACATTTTCTTTCCGACAAGTGAATTTTTTCACCTGACCCATAATTTAGAAGCGATTCAAGGTGATCCTGTTACGTGGCTATAACCCGGCGCGGAATGTTCTTTATCTGCGGCAACACAATCGATTGGCACACGAGAAATTCATTTCACATGGGTAACGAAACTGGTGGAAAAACGACATGGACACCGGCCACGAAGTATTTCCAGTCTCCTTGTGCCCTTTCGAAGAACCGTTAGCCGGAGAAAACGCGTATCTGATAAGGCCAGGTATCGGATTCGATTTAACCCAAGTGCATTATGCAGGCAGCACAAACTCGTATCCCAATAGGGAAAAAGTGCATTGGCAATAAACGAGGTTTATTGTTTTTATTCGATCTAATGTGATATTTTTTGTATAATATTTGAATCGTAAAAGTTGTTGAATATTGAATTGTTAAAAAGAAAATTGTGAATAAATATTGTTATTTTTATATTACATAAAACATCGAAAGTTTGTTTTTAACTATATTTAACTATATATACATATTGTGCAATATTATGAATTTTTAGAAAATTATTGTCGAGTGTCGTTTTAGATATGAAATGCAAGATTTTTTAATCATTTCTGGATTCGAATTGAATTTTCAAAATATTTAATTTAGGGTGTGCATATCATCTAAAATTAAAGAAGATTATTTACTGCATTTATGTTTAACTATTTGCTGCTTGATCATTTCGATAATTAACATGTATAATATATATATATATTTAACAGATAAGTTATTTAAAAAATTTCCATCAGTTGATATTAAAATGTTGAATACACAAAACGCTGAAAGTTTCTTCTTCTAAAGTTTACAGATTGCTAAACTTTATTTGTATTTTCTTTTACAATGCTACGATTCTAAAATTATCTTAAAAAATATATCCATGTTTAATAACGTCGAAAAAAGTTTCTCAATAATTGACATGCCAATTAACATCATTCAATGTTGATTTTAATAAGAGAAATGTGTAAAAGAAGTATACGCTAATGAAAACGTTAAATTAGCAATAAATGAATAAAGATCCTTTAATGCGTTTCAAGAAAAAATTTAAACTTAAGATTCTGCTTAGAATATTATTTTATCAAACATTGAAAATACATTTGAAATATCGATTCACGTCCAAATTAAATATTTAATTTGATTCTCATAAAGTTATAAGTAATTAAAGCGAATGCAATTCTTGTAATTTCAATTAATATGCATATTTGTATTGTTTATTCGACATATAATGCCGGTTAAATAGTATTTCTTCACCTTTCATTAAATACTATATCGAGTAAATAACATAAATTAACACAAGTTTCAAATTCATAAACTTTACTTTTAATTTCAATTGTAATGAATTTTTCAACAATATTAAACTAAATTTCTAAAATTAATTACATAAAAATTTATTTACCATTTAATAGCAATCACTGTAAAATAAAATTCACAATATCATTTGTTACAATTTCCCTTTTCATAAATATTACAAGAATCCTCTACTACGCTACGATTCTTCTAATCCAACTTTCATTTTACAAATCAATCCGACTTTCCATCAACTTTCATTCGCAAACAAAAGAGAATCTCTCCCCTCCCCCTTTCTTATCATCTGCAAGGAAAAAAAAAAAAAAAAGAAACACTCCCAATTTAAATTCCCTCAAGATCTCAAAGAAAAATGTGTTCATCGAACCGCGAAGCGTTTTAGAATCGCAGCGGTAAAATCGGCTTCCTAGATGCCAAAAGATAATCGCGATTATCATTCTCTCGTGCTTTACTTCTTTCCCTCCCGCCACTTTTCCTCGCGGCTGGCTACTTCCTTTATTTTCTCTCGGGCATCCGGTCGACGCGCCCGCGATTTCCGGAAGCGAGTAAGGCGAGAGAGAGCCTTACCACCGAGCCTTCATTCATAAAGCACGCCTTGGCGTGCCGCGTACGAATCACGTGCCACCTTATACACACGTCGTGACTCGTGAATTTCGAGCACCGTGAAATATTCGCGTTCTCGATTCACGGTTGTGTTGTTCTTTCCGCCACGATGAGGTTAACCGAAAGAAAAAGGGAGGAAAAAGGAAGGGGAGGGGAGGGGAGGGGACTTTCATGGTGGAAAGATGAAAGGTAACGTGGAAGTGTTTGAAGATAATAATCGGTTAGAAAAGAGGTGGTCTCGAGAGGTGGTTTTTTTTTTTCATGATCTTTTTCTTCCACCAAGCGTAATTGATGAGTACGTATGGGTAATGAGTTGTTAAGGAGTGTATAGATATAGGGAGATCGGCTCTTTTTTTTTGTTCAAACGTGCGGGGAAATATAATATAATGAGTATGCGTGTGCGAATATTAAAATTGATTTGGGAACGTTCTTTGACGAATGAAGTTCTTGAAAATTTTTTGAATTCTTGAAAGGAGAGCTGATTTTTTTTTTTTCGTACTCGTGTCACGATAGAAAAATTATCTTTTGGTAAATTAATATATTTCTATATGTAGAAGGATAATTTCTAATTTAAATAAATAATTTTAATCTTTGATATTATTATGTTTTGATAATAAGCTTGTTAAGTTAAATAAACTGTATATATTTGTACATATCCAGCTTTGAAGTAATTTTTGTTTTGTATAATAACTTTACAAAAATTTTCAAGATGATATAATTATAACATTTTTCGATTAATTATTTCTTTGATGCAATATAATAT